ATCTATTCGAATGTTGTTGTTGTTGGTGTTGTTGTTGTTGTTGGTGGTGGTGGTGGTGTCGGTGGTGGTGGTGGTAGTGTTGTTGTTGTTGTTGTTTTTTTATGTTTTTTTTTTTAAATATGATTCTATGAATGTGTGTACTACCTTATGCGACAATTTTCTTATACTTGTCCTTTACCAAGTAAGATTTTGAGATCTCCTTGGGACAGATACATTATTGAGGACGTACCAGGTAATTTTTCTTTCATACATTTTATAATATATCTATTTTGACAGGATTAAGTGCAGAGCCCAATTATTATAGTGAGGAACCTAAACAACATTTTCGCCTCATTTTAAAGTGAAACGATATATCAAATCAAATATGAAATTGATGAAGACGGTTTCACTTTTCGCACATTAAATACATGGGTCACTTATCAAAGAGGGTCTGCAATTATTCCGATAAAAGTAATGAAATAATTGTAGTGTATCAATTTTCGATATTTCATTTGAATTCTAAAATATTATAAGAAAAGTAATAAATATCAAAATAAATAAAGAAAATAAATACATGTAAAAGAGATTTTATGAATCAATAATAGAAAATAATAAAATTAAAGAAAATAAAAACATAAATAGAGAGAGAAATGAAAAATAGATATGTAAAAAATTAGATTAAAAATATTATTTAAAATAAATTGAAATAGCACAACAATGAAGAAACATCATAATAATATTACCTTAATTACTTTTTCTTGTCAAATATGTTGATTTTACAACAATTGTCCGAACAGCTCCTAAATGTTTGCATAAATGGTTTGTATTAAAATATATTAGATATGAAAATGACACACCCTTTAGTATCAAACATAATTAACAGACACTGATTAAATTTTATGACACCCAGAACACATATAGACAACTTGTCAACAATAATGACCACATGTATAGACGGGAGACAAATCATTAAATGTTTACCTTATTTTATCACTATTACAGTACATTGAAGCAAAGAGAGCCGAATGAAATGTAATTGTCCCGAGGATTCTAAAGAGACAAATGCGAATTTGTTGCCGATTCCAAAAGTGCAATCGCCCTGCTATATAGACGTTAGCCTCGAAATGTGTCAAATTCACTACGAATCATAGAGTTTCATGAACTTGTGTACAGTTCAGCTTAAGTTCCGATGAAGTGTTTGCAAAAAACAATCAAATAAGTATTAAAATAATTTCATCAAGACATGATGTAGAAATTTGGCTTATTAGTTACGGAAATAAGAAAATACAACAGGGCCATGCTCACACTTTTGTCCCCTAACTTAAGTATACGCTGGTTGCTACTGCTTTAGAATGCCAATAGTTGCTATATAAGTCAGTAGTTGCTATGGAAAGTCAATGGTTGCTCTGGAAAGCAATGGTTTCTAGGTAAAGACCATGGTTGCTATAGAAAGTCACTGGTTGATTTGATACGCCATCAATTGCTATGGAAATCACTAGGTTCTATAGAAAGGTAGTAGTTGCTATGGAATCCACGGGTTACAATGGAAAGTCAATGAGTGCAACTTGCTATGGAAAGTCAATGCGAAGTCATTGATTGTTGCCTACTTGGAAGGTATGATGTATTTTATTATATCGGACAATCGTTTTAAAATATGTGTGAACAAAATGCCTTTTGCTGATTATGTCATTTAAGATTTGGTACATTGTAATAAAATATAACATTACCATGTACGACTTTATAATGTTATAGATCTCTCACAGCAGGCTAAATCCAGCAATAAATACCGAAACCAATTTTTGTATCTAACGTACTAAGCTTACAAATTCAATTCAATGTCAAATTCATATAAGAAAGAAATACAAATGCGCTTTGAGTGACACATTTATTTTCTACGCTTATTACGATACAGTTTTTTGGGGCAAGAGTGGATTTCAGGCTGTAGCGGATAGCTTGTCTGTGATGTTGCTTATTCTGATTTTATTTTAAAAAATTCAAAAACAACAAATATAATGTACCGTTTATACTTATTAGTCCCCTACCGGTTTACCGGAGGGGACTTTAGGTTTACCCTCCGTCCGTCTGTCCGTCCGTCAGTCCGTCCGTCTGTCCGTCCGTCAGTCCGTCCGTCCACAAAACTGGATCCCGCGATAACGCAAAAAGTACTGAAAATATTTTAATGAAACTTGATACATGGATAGATGGCAGTATGGAGATTATGCACGTCTTTTTTTTTTCTTCCTATGTTGAAAATTCTGGTTGCTATGGCAACAAATAGACTGAAAATATGACAAATTTTACACATAAACTGGATCCCGCGATAACGCAAAAAGTACTGAAAATATTTTTATGAAACTTGATATATGGATAGATGGCAGTATGGAGATTATGCACGTCTTTTTCTTTTCTTCCTATGTTGAAAATTCTGGTTGCTATGGCAACAAATAGACTGAAAATATGGCAAATTTTACACATAACCTGGATCCAGTGATAACACAAAAAGTACTGAAAATATGTTTATGAAACTTGACATATGGGTAGATGGCAGTATGGAAATTATGCACATCCTTTTCTTATCTTCCTATGTTGAAAATTCTGGTTGCTATGGCAACAAATAGACTGAATTTCAAGATTTCTTATTCTAGTTTTTAAGTTTTTTCACTATAAGTTCTTTATTTCTTAAGGTATTTTCTTCAAACTTTAAATATAAGTTGCTTGTCATCAACCATATAATATGTGGCAAGGTTTACAACTCGAGTACAAAATTTATCAGAATTACCTCCCTTGAACTTAAAATTTTCATGAAAAAAACATTGTTTTTTTTTAATAACTTCTTTTTCTGAATGTATCTACTTCAAACTTCATATAAATGTTTCTTATTGTCACTCAACATTTGTGAGTGTTCAATACTCTAGCAAGACTATTTCCAGAATTATGCCCCTTTTGAATTTAGACTTTTTTTTGAGAAATTGGTAATTTTTACTCCAACTTCTTCAATTATGATAGGATTTTAAAAATGTTATATTTTGATAACAGGGATGTTTAAAAAATAACTTTAGAGTGTCCTTCAGTCCGTCTGTCTGTACATTAAAACTGTTTCCTGTGATCACTTTTAATGAACTTTTTTCAACAAATTTACTTAAAATAGGAACCTAAGTGAATGGCCCTTCAGAATGTTGCTTGGGCTCTTACCGGTAGGGGACTTATGGATTGCTTGCAATACTATGATAATTGCTTGTTAAATGTGTTTTGTGGATTGACTTGTTCATGAAGTGCATAAATAAGACCTCATTGTCGCGCATTATCTTTACACTATTTATACCTTAAGAAATTGTATTAATTGAAAAAATAGTGCAGTATGGCAGCACAACGTATCTATACACTCAGTCTGACTAAAGTTCACATCTACAGTACTTAAGTTATTTCTTGCATGTAGACCTGATCGCCATCGTATTTTTTTCGCCTTCTATGTTGTTCGGAATTCTTGAGAAAGCTAATTTAAATAATGCAATCAAACCGTCCTTTACAGATAGACGTTAGACGAAGTATCAGAATATCGCTGTCCGTGGAAGTAAAACAAACTGTTGAAAAAGAAATTGTCTTACGTAATTCGAAACAAATAAACTTGAAATAATTGTGCAAGTTTGGTTTGACAACTGCCGACTTTGTCGACAACGCCATGTTTGTTCTCGAAAGCGTGAATTGAACTCAATATTGGTTATGTAGCGTAAAAATTAGAAACCGCATCGCTTTCAAATTTTTGAAAGCTAACGGATGATTGGCTGTTTGAAAGGACACAAGAAGGTTATCCAATCCCTATTGGTGTTGAAGTCCGCGTATTTTATTATTGCAATTGCTTGTGATCAATTTTAAGATATAATTAGGTCATTTACCTAAAATAATATGATTATTTTAAAGTTTCAAATAAAAATCAATTCATTATCTAATAAAAGTTAATATTTTACATAAGAATCAGTTCACATGTACCAAACAGTTTTCACTTACATGCAAACGATCTTCAAATGATAAAAATATAATACTTTTATAAAGATTATATCATCTCGTAGAAGTCTTTTAATGATACTCTCCCACACAAAATGGATCTAAAAGCCATTAACATAGTTAGTTGTCTACAGTTAAATATACATGGAAGTAACATTTGCAGTATTCATGAGATAACTGTGTTTACTAAACGCAGATATAAAGAACTTAACACCCGTTAACATGCAGTCTGAAGGACAGCTTGGTGGACGGTAATTTGCACTTGACAGTACCGTCTATGAACAGGCTCAATGCGATATTTTCAATTTTGTCGTTTTTGATTCCTATTTTCTCTGTTTTATTATAGAAATGTCGGTTTAAAACAGGACTACAAGGAAATGCTCTTCTTTGTCTCTATTTATAGACATAATGTTCTATGATATACTGCAATCAGTTGAAATATAAAAAAACTTACCAGGCGCACAATTGTTCTACCCGCAACTAACTGATCTAATTTCAACCAGCTAACGGGTGCGTTTAGAATTTAAGTCAATATTTTACAAAATAAAACGTTGCAACGGTTTTAAATACTGAAGGATAAACATTGCAAATGCTTCACTAGTTGTTTTCGTTGGTCAAGTCATGTTATAATCTTCTAGGTCCATATAAATGTACGAGCCTGTGATGAAATTCTATTTTTTGATGACATTTTATTTGAAAAACGCCCAAAACTACGATATGTGGGAAGGTAGCTTTAACACGATTTATATTTTATAAGGATTTCACAGAATATTTAGATTAATGCTTCTGCATGTGTCACATGTCTTGACCAATTCCGTCAAAGCAATATAAATGGCTCAATGGCAGTTAATCATTGTTTAACATGCGCATAATATAACCATTGACATTTTCCATAATTCCCTGTAACAAATGCTTTTAATTCTTATCAAATCAAACTGCAGCAATATGGTGCATAGCGGATTAGATATAAATCAAATAAATGTTAAGTTTTGCGATATTTCTCTCAGAGCGCAGCAAGACATCGTTTATGTATGATTTGCATTATGTCAAAGCCGACGTATCTATTATCATTCGTTCTGATTACATCATTAGCTGTGGCTTATGACCAGAAGGATGTTGCCGCGTGTCCATTAACATGTAAACATTTTTATGATTATTTCCATAAATTGTATGTACATTTTTGTTTAAAACGATCTCTGACAAATAGGTTCACGTCATAAGTAAAATTTTAGTTTAAATGATATGTTTGCATTGCAATTTAACTGACATTGAAATTTGCATTTAAGTTTGCCAACCGAACGAGATGTGTTTTAACTTGGATACTACTGGCGCTATTACTGGACTTTTACCTGGTATATCGCATGTTTCTCCAATGACGCCAATTATAAGTGGAAAACCTTGCAGCAGACAAATCGTCATAAAAGTGAGTTATTGAGATTCTTTTGTTCCTTTTTCCTTCTGCAAGTAATGTTAAAACAGTAATTGATCAGGTAATAAAACAGTTATTTCATATGTGATTTGGGAACAGTCAACCAGTTGTCCTCAGTTGTCCCCCTGTGTCGGGGAAAGTGTATTGAACTGTTGCCGTCGGCCTACGGCCTTGGGCAACAGTTCAAAACACTATCCCCTCCACCTCGGTTCAACAGTTTGACTGTTCCCAAATCACATATGAAGTAACTGTATAATATACTTTGGTATACTAATTTGTATGATTTGATTTGACATTGCAGTATCAGTCTTAAACCAGACGACAATTGACTTAGGCATTTACACAAGTTCATTAACATACATGTTAGTACAGGTTTTCATAACATGAATAGTAAACTAAAGTCTTGTGAGCAAAATAGATCATTTTATTTGCAAATATTAGTTAAAGAAAGGTGTTATTATTTGAATAAATTTATCAATATGGTAACCACGTTTGTACACTTAAAAACGTTCAATCGCACTTTTAAGTGACCTTGAAGAAGCATTATTTCTTGCTGGTCTTAAAGCCGTGAAAAATATCGTTAACATATGCTTACTACTTTGAGTCTATAGGATATTTGCATGAAGTACAGTAAGAACTTCACAACGACAGTAGCTTATGCCTTAAATCATGTTAATGCTACCATTGAAATGTTTATATTTGCAAAGCGTAAATTTGTTCTTTGAAATTTAAGTAAAATGTATGCAAACATTCCTTATATCCATCTGTGAACAGGCACATTTCCTTAAAGGCACATTGCCAGTTGCATGTCCAACCGACAAGAGAGACACATCTTCGATTTCGCTACCTTCACAGAAAATGCTTAAGATACAGCTGTATTTGTCGAATTCTGAACGATACAACCATATGTTTAATATAGGGGACAGTCATTCCAATAATGGTCATGGTAAATTACATTTTTCTTAATAAAGTATCGTGCAAATATCAAATTACGACCGGGGTGCATAGCGACGAAAAACGATTTCTTATTTACATAAAATAATTGACGACAAGCTTTTTATTAGTAAATGAAACTACATGTATAAATTCATATTTATAAGATTCCGCTGCTTCGATATTTAGTGTTGTTTTTTTCTTTGAGTGTCAAAATAAGACTATCTATTAACGAAAGCAAGTTCTCGAACTATTTGAAACGATTTTTTTTATCAAAAAATTCATTTAACATTGTTTGTGTGTTTATTTATTTATTTGGAAAAGGCTTTCAAGAATACTCGATCAATATATCGGAAACACGTAATTAAAGAATATGAATACAAATATGTATATTTTTTTTTACTTTTTATTTATTTTTCGGAAAAAAAAATCATTCAACATAAATAGCCTTGTTTGTTTGAAAGAATACTCGTTCGATTCAAGTTAAGTTATTTAACATTATAAAAAGAAATAATGATTTATGTTATCAAATATATTTTGAAAGTTTGTTTGTTTTTTGTTTGTTTGTTTGTTTGTATGTTTGTTTGTTTGAGGGAAAAGAATACTGGTAATCTGTGAGTTTTGTTTGTTATACTAGGTGGAGACTCAGGTCACCAAAGTTATGATTCAGAGATTCATGGACGTTATCCACACATAGGAGTTTATGAAAATGACCATTGTTTTGGTCTATCGAGCATGTAAGATATCTGTTGCCTTGATATTTGTTTTCAATTTATGACGTATGAGTGTTGAATACCATTTATTCTTGCATATAAGACAATATTATTATCTATTATTACCTGATACCTTATATAAATGTTATTTGGTATTTTTTACTGTTTTCTGAAATTCTAAAATCGTCAACGTTCGCGAACTGTTGACCGGTCAATTGTTTCGACTGTTTCCCTCGCGTGCTCTGACGTCATTGACGTCATAGAGGATGCCAAATTAAAGCGTAATTCGATCATGATCATAAACCAGACGTGACGTAACATAGTTAAAGTATTAAGTTTAATTATTAACATATGTGCAAAACTATATTCTTGTTCCTTTTTTCTTCTGCAAGTACTGTTAAAATAGTAATTGATCAGGTAATAAAACAGTTATTTCATATGTGATTTGGGAACAGTCATACAGTTGTCCCTCGGTGTCGGGGTTAGTGTTTTGAACTGTTGCCCTCGGCATACGGCCTTGGGCAACAGTACAAAACACCACCCCCTCCACCTCGGGCCAACAGTTTGACTGTTCCAAAATCGCATATGAAATAACTGTATACTGTTTACACGGGGAGTGCTAGGAAAAAAAACCCTTGTGGAATAAGTTGCATGTTTAAATGACTTTATTCCCTCTCGCCTTTTATGAATGAATTTCGTTCTTAGGATGACGTCATTGTGCCGTTATCAATGAAGTTGCAAATTCATACGCTACTATAAGAAAAAATAACGAATATATTAGTTTCGTAATTTATTTTTGTTATATCATTTATTTGTAATATGCAAGAAAAATAACCAAACACAGGCTGACGTCACAGACAGAAATATCTAGCCCTTGGCAAATATCTGGAAACAAAGTGATCCTTGTTACCGTCGTAAACAGTTACCCTAGAGATAGTTCTAGGGTAAATATTCAGCAACCGGTGTAGTAATCTTATAGTATATAAAGTGTTTGATAAGTAATATGTCTTTGTATAATAAAAAAAAACATTCAACAAAAATCCCACAAAAAATAACATAATTGATTTTATCTTTTCAGCCATCTGTATACTTTATTTAAGCCAGCAAGCTTGATAAATGTGTGGGTCAGTAACGGCTTCGTCAAGATGTCGAGTGACAACGGATTAATTTTTTCCAACTGTTCATCATGTTTGTTTGGTCTCAGTGGTCAACTGGATGCGGAAGGAATCGAAAATGAGGACATTTTCATTTCTGCAAATAGAGTGATAAACACGTATATTGGTGGGAGAGTAGGATATGGAATCTGTTTCATGAAACTGCGTTGGGTGTCTGGGCCAAATGAATAAGTTTGCAGTTACCTTTATTCACTTATGAAACGAATAAAGAAAGAAATGACTATATAGCATAACATTTTGTCAATTCTGTTTTTACCACGGACTTAAACAAATTTTTTACCCTAAAAACAGTCAATTGGTCCATTTCAAAAATATTATGAAATAGTTTACCGTCGATATTATGAGAATTTGAATCAGTGGTTACCTACCAAACTTTTTTTGTTATTTTGTAAACTCAATTTTTCAGCGTTTTAAACTAAAAAATATTTGTCAGTCATAGAAGTTTGCTGCAAGCATAACTCTATATCATAGGCACATGTTTTGGTTTATACAGAATTTATTTTAGTTCGAGTGTGTATGAAGCTACATGTATAAGCTTATAGACACACTTTTGAATCAACCACTTCTGAGCAATGAGTGTAAAGTTTTTTGCTTAGGGAAACAATGAAAAAACCCTGACGGGTTTATCGATTTTAAAATAAAAAGCCGACGGTAACCACTGGCCCCCAACCCCCCGCAACATTTTTTAAATAAAATTTACAAAAAATAAAGCCTTGAAAATTTAGGTGGGAGCGTTAAAAATTTGTTAAACCCTTTGGGCCGTATGGTTTACCTTTTAAAAATTGATCTGGGGCTTTGGCCCTTTAAGGTTTTGGGGTCTTTCATCAGGGGGAATCAAAATCGTTGGGAATTTAGAAATCATAAAAACTAAAGGAAAAAGGTATTTTTTTTAAACCCAAAGAAAGCCTTTTAGGTGAAGCCCCAAAAAATTAAATAATTTGTGTTAAAAATGGGCAAAAACCCCAATATAAACAAACAAATTGAAACATCTTTTTCAAGTTTACAAAAAATTATACAAAAAAAATAAAGCTCGTTTTCTGATTCAAATTTGATTTTTAAAAAAGGCTTCATTTTTAATTCGAATAAAGAAATTTTAAACCCAAATTTTTTTAAAAATTTTTTAAATTGCAAGAAAACGAAAAAATTTGTGTTCCGTGGGTTATGAAAATAGCTTTTTTTAAAAAATTTAAAAAGACCCTGAAAGGGTTATTTCAATGAAAAAATTTTTTGAAATAAATAAAATTTAATTTTTAAACTCCTAGGGTAATAAAAAACTAAAAAAAATTTGGGGCATCAAGAATGGGGGAGATTATAGGGTGCTTTTGGTTACAAAAAAACTAAAACCCCAAAATTAAAAAAATAAATGGTCGCCCTAAACAAAATATTTTCTAAAACTTCAGAAAAAAAATTTGATCGGGGCACCAAAAATTACCAACACAGGGCATACAATAAAAATTTAAAATTTTAAAATGAAATACATTTTAAAATTTTTAAGGGTTCAAAATTAAATTTTTTAGTATTTAAAAATTTTTAAAACACTTTTTAAAAAAATAAATTTTTGGGTTTCCCTGACTTTTAAAATTCTTATCATTTTTCGCCCAAAAAAGGGAGATTTTTCCCAAAATGCCCGGTAAGAACCCAAAAGTGAAAAAATTCCGGGCCCGCATTTTTTTGTCAATTCCCCCATTTCCCCAGCACATAAATTTTTTTCCCCAATTGGAAATCCATGTTTTATTAAATAATGCTTTTAAATTTTCTACTGATTGGGGCCCGTAAATGTATTCTTTTTTTGTTTAAACTGCCCCCCTTTTTAATTTTTTATTTCATTTCAATACATTAAAAATGTGTGGACTAAATTTGGTCAATTTAAATCTTTTGGGGAAAAAAATTTTTAAGCCCAAGTAATATATCATAATAGCTTTTTGACACCCCAATTTTTTAAACTATAAATTGCGCCGTTTTTGGTGATTTTACGTCTTTTTGGAAAAAAATTGTAAAAAATTTTCTTATTACGGGTAAAAAAATTTAATAAATAAAACAATTTTTGGGAAATTAAAATAATTTCTGAGCATAAGGGGATTTTAAAATTCATATATCAGGGGGTTAAAAAGCTTTTCTTAAATTAACACTTTGCAATAATGAATTTTGTTAAAAAAGTTGGGAAAATTAAAAAAGGGGGATTTTCAAAATTAAGCGTTTAAATTTTATTGTTTTGAAACCAAAATTTTTAGCTTAAAAAATTTAAAAACACATGAAAGGAATAATAAAAAATTTCACCGTTAAAGAAAATTTTTCCTTATTATATTTTTAAATTTATAACACATTTTTCATGTAAATTTTTAGTTTTATCTGATATTTTCACCAAACCCCTGCTGCCCAAGAATTGTTTTAAAAACCCATGATGGGAAGAAAAATTGGCCTTTTAATAACTTTTCTTTCTACCTTTGAAACTGCAAAATATCATATCTGGCCAAGTATGGACTATACGGCAATATTTATATGTTACAAGTGTTAAGAATGTTTTTAATCAACTTATATGTGTATTCGAACCTTTTAATCTGGTTGCTTTTATTAGAGTACAGTATTGTATGCATTACTTACTGATGAAATAATGGTGCATAGCGGATTAGATACAAATCGAATAAATGTGGAGCCTACCGATGTTTTGCTTATACCACGGCAAGTCATCTTAAGTGTATGATTTTAATTCTGAAAAAATCGATTTTGTATTCTTGATTTTTCCTTTTTAGTTTTTTCATGGTGCTCTTCACTTCGACGAAATTGTAACAAATAACTGAAAAATAGTTATTGAAAAATTGCACAAATAACGAAGTACACGTTTAATATATGCCGGAAATGATTTTTATTGACCATATTAAAAAATGAAAATTAGAATAATTAAAAGGAAATAAAAAAAAAAAAGTTTAAACAAGAATTAAAAAAATTTTCAGTTTGAAAAAACAAATAACATCGTCATGTATTTAAATTTAAATTCAAAATTTTTAATTAAATCTTACAGCAAGCCCCTTTATTCACGGGATATTTTTTACTAAAAATATTTTGACTGTTAATTCAACCCCCCCCCCCTCCAGAACTAAAAATAAAAACCCTTTGAATTTAAAAGCCCTTTTTCCCCATATACATTTTCCCATTTGGGATTGTCTTGATAGTGAAATAACAGAAAATAATTTCCCAAACTAAAAAAGTTGACACAATATAAAAAAAAGGCTGAACTCCTGGATAATATTTCCCACCATACTTTTTTCATTAAATACTTAAAACCTACAAAACCTTAAAAAGAAAAAAAGGTTTCATCAAAATTTTGAAACCGTTTTTCACTTTCCCTACCCCTTTTACATCCGCAGAAAAACATTAAAAAACTATCATCAAAAATAACTTTTTGTTTTTTTAATAAAATTTAAACAGGGGCAGCAAAGGATAGAGTTTTTAAAAAATAAATTAATTCGGGGCAGTTAAAATGTAAAATTTTAAACGAAGTTGAAGTTTTAAATTCCCTGAATTTTAAAAAATCGTTTTTTCCGTATTTCCGAAATGAAAAAATTTTTTAACTAAAAAGTTAAATTTCGTGAATTAAACCAAGATAAAGGAAAAATTCATGTATTAAAATTTCCCCCACTGTCTTCGCCCCCTTTAAAAAAAAAGTTATGGTTCTTTTGAACTGAATTTGGGGATCAAAAAGGGTCCCCGGGGAAAAAGGGCCAAATATTCCCTAAATCCCTTTTTGTACGTTTTTTTGACCCCAAAGCCGCAAAAATCCCCAGAGTAATCCTGACGGACACACCTATACCCGCGAACACACAGTCAGCCCCATAAAAAACCCGCATTCTGTGGAATTTGTTCTGGGTATCACAGGGGACATTTATGGAAAATGTTAAAATATGAGCTAAAATGATCATTTATATTTTGATATTTGGCTAAACGAAGCAAAATACCAGAGTATTTTTGGCAGACAAATAAACCAGCGAAAACACGGTCCCCCTAACCATTCAAATATATGAGATTCTGCGAAACTGAGGCTAGACCTCACAGGGGTCAGCCGAAATAGGCGAGATATGAGTTGAAATGACCATTTATAGCACGATCTTCGGCTCAATGTCGGCAAAATGCTACAGCATTTCCGACGGACACACCTTTGCCAGCGGTCACACGGTTAAATTCCCTAACCTTCCCACCATCTGGGGTTCTGTGCAATTGAGACCGGGCCTCACAGGGGTCAGCCGGAAATGGCCAGATATGAGTTGAAATGACCATGTATAGTACGATTTTCGGCTCAACGTCGGCAAAATACCAAGTAGTCCCGACCGACACACCTTTGCCAGCGGACACACGGTTAAACTCCCTTATGGCGTTCTGTGCAATTGAGGCCGGGCCTCAAAGGGGTCAGGCGGAAACGGCCATATATGAGTTGAAATTACCATGTATAGTACGATTTTTTGGCTCAACGTCGGCAAAATACCAAAGTATTCCCGACGGACACACCTTTGTCAGCGGACACGGTTATACTCCCTAACCACCCCACCATATGGTTCTGTGCAATTGAGGCTGAGCCTGACAGGGGTTAGCCGGAAATGGCCAGATATGAGTTGAAATGACCATGTATAGTTCGATTTTCGGCTCAACGTCGGCAAAAATGCTACAGCATTCCCGACGGCGAACCTTTGCCAGCGGGCCCGTGGTCATACTTTGCACGACACAAATATTCAAAAAATTGTTCATGGATTATTTTTTCATCTTTAATTCCCTTTATTTTGGTTATTCTGGCCAGCCGGAATAGCCAGAGATCGAGGTGATAAAAAATTTGAAACTACATTATGAAATTTACCAATTGTCTATTGCACAGGTTTTACTGTATATTCTCTGGCTAGCCGATTCAGCCGGAAACGGATTCCGGCAAGCCGGAGTAGCCGGAACAGCCAGACGAGACAAAGTTTTGTTCCGGCTGTTCCGGCTGCTCCGGCTGTCTGGCTAACTTCACGAACATAAAATATGAGTATATAGACCTTTCTAATGATATAAGATATGAAACTGATTAATGAAAAATAACTTTGTTATTATTCATAAAAAATACTATGATTTGCACTTTCTCAGCCGCCATACCTTTTGCTAACCATTCACAAGTAACAGGTTTGTCTTATCAGCAATTGATTACTTTTAATAGATTTTGTAACAATAACATACAACGATAGTCACGTGATTCTTACAAAAGAACAGGGAAAAATTGTTTATAACTAAATAAAATAATGAAATAGAATAGGTATCATGGGATATAAACA